CTGATTTGACTTCTCTAATATTTTTTTGTATTTGTTTTCTCTTTCAAAAGCCTACTATTATAAGTAATCATGTATTTGCATGTATTTAAAAAAATGAAAAGAAAATAAGTCAACAAAAATTAGAAAAGTCAAAATATACTTTCAAAAATAGTATTCGGTTCAGTTTTGCCATCATAACAAGATGATTTGTTATGCTATAAAAAATATGTATCATAAGTTATGAAAATTTTTTCCACTTATCTAGAAATATAATAAATTGATGTACTCACCTTCAGAAATGCTGAGTTGAGTTTTCTTCTGCCATTTAGAGGTGGCACAGGGCAAATCCACAATGCAATCTTAATTATATCCCCTTTCTGTTAGCTGCCTCCGTAGCAGGGACACATCTATACAAAACACAATGTAGTTCTTATGCTTGCGTTTTAATTTCTGTCCAGATTTTACAGTTTTGGCCCATCCTTCAACATACATGTATTAACATTAAATGAGAAAGGATATATAAATGTATACACAAACTCGGCATGATAATTCCTCAAATAATTTCTCCCAGGCATGTAATCATGGTAATTAGAGTACCAGTTCGTTCGAGACCCGACCATAACAGCTATCATATTACGATATCTAACATGTCTAAAGCATGCCTGCATGGGGAGGCGACATTTTCAGGTTAAAACAATCAAAGATAAGGGTGACAATAAAAGATAGGCTAATCACACAGCGTGAGTTACCTTATTTATTTTGAAGAGAAGACCTGTCACTTCCAGTCAATCATTGTAAATCATTTGTGCTCCACGTGGGTTTGTTGACAATAATTTTACGCTGAATCGTCTTTATGTTAGATTATTACGCGAATGTAGTACACAATTGATAAAAGGAGTTACATACCTCTTTTCTTCTATTTCATACAAGATTATTGAAAAGATAAGTTCCTCAGTAGCTATGTACCTGTCATTAGTTCTTAAACATAATTACCTACTTGAACTATTTTGTCCCTCGTAGTATTTCTAAAGATCGCTTCAGTACCCCGTGCTAATCAAATGTTGAACCCGATTTGTTTATGTTTAAGACATACAGAGTTGTCGTTCGTTCTTTCTCAAACGTGAAACGTATCAGCAGTAACAAAGTAACTATTCGTTCTATTATTAGGCTATTATTTTCATTGGACTTTTTTACATTAATCAAAATAAATTGTTAAAATAAATTCGCCATAACACACGCTTTTTGATTTGATAATAACGATAAAGATTGGGAAGGGGTCAAATATGATTAAGCGGGTTGTATGCCCTTAGTTTAAGATACATCCGTTTGGAGTACCATGAAGCGGGGCAAACATCTTGAGAGGTCGAAAGGTCAACAAAGCATGCAAAAGTAATAGGCGGCTTCCGCCTAAAAAAATCGATTGTATTGTATAATTTTTTTACTTGTATTCTATATTTTCCATTTGTGTTATATAATTTTTCATTTGCATTGTATCCAAGGGATTGTTTATTTTGGTTTGTTACAAAGGATTTCATTGGTTTAATCTAATCATATATCGGATTTGGTAATACCCGAGATTTTCCGGGAAGTTTACACGTGTTATCCAGTCTGAACATTCAGTGCAAGAAGCATGTTTTTTAGCAGAAAAGGTATGTTGAATTAATGGCCTGTAGCGATATTAAAACAAAGAAAAAGCATTTAGTTTTACCAAGTTATGCTTATAGCTTCTCACAACAAACCGGGTCCGTAGGTCAATATCAAGAACGTTCTGTCTACGCTTGTTCAATCGAGGGAGTTTTAATATGCAGGGAAAGCAGGGGTAGAGAGGGGAGGAAGAGAGAGAGAAAGATACATACACTTTTGGGTCAAGACTGACTAAAAAAAAGAAAGAATTAAAGGTATAAATGGAGTGTACAGAGTTATTTTCAAAACAGTTTTCAATTTTAAAAATGGGTTTTCCAAAAGAAAACAATTCGCATCGAAAGCAAATTGAAAGTGTGTGGGTGGGGGGGGGGGGGGCTAGTTGAAGGAGAAAAAAAATAAAAACTGTAAAAAAAATGGCAAGCAAAAAAATTTCCTATTTCCTGCAGAGGGGTGGAGGTTTAGGTAGGATTAAACTTCTTTCAGAACCATTATTTTCAAAACCCTTTCACTTTTCTTTGAAAATACTTCGTAATTGTTGAAAGGGGGCTAAACTTACGCCCCAATGACCAATGCCTATACTATGTGTATTTTTTTTTTAAAGTGAGGGGTTAAGCTCACCCTTTCCGGCCTATGGAAACAGTAACCAGACTTTGAAAGGTTTAACATAAAAAAGTAAATTACTTCGATAGTTACCTCGATTCTTTTTTTTTTTTAGGAATTGTAATTCTAACCGCTGAAAAAAACAAGCAATTAAAATTAAATGGAATTGTTCATAAACCATGTATTTTTCTAAAATCTTAGCCTGTAAAATTTGTTCAGCATACCGTTAAATGAGAAATGAAATCTTTATCAAGGAAAATGCATATTTAATTTTATAAATTTAACAGAAATTGTTCCTAAATAAAATTATTGGATTTTTTTTTTAGAATTCTGAATTCCAGATCGTTTTCCAGATGATGTTTTAGTTTACCTTATCCTAAGTTTAAGTTATCGTTCTTTATATACAATAAAATCGCTGAGCGGGAACGAGATCTCTCTTTCCCATCGTGACATGGTCGCCAGCGTGGCGCAGTGGTTAGATCGTCTGCTCTAGAGTCGAGAAGTAAGGAGTTGATCCTTATATCGCGGGTTCGAATCCCATTGTGGGACGTGGAGACTGGTCCTTCAGACGAGACCGTATAAACCGAGGTCCCATGTCGCAGTAGATGCTGGTACGAAAAAGATCCCTCACCGCTCAATGGCCCTAAGTGGTGAGCATAGAACAAATTTGCAGCTCTCCACCGGCAAGTGGTGGCGTCTCGATATGAGTGAAAAATTCTCGAGTGGGAAGTTAACCAACATCAATCAATCATCATGACATGCATTGAAGGATCGAATTTAGGAATCACTGTCTAGCCAGTATATACATGTATAGAGTATGTTAGGGCATCGACTATAGTTGGAAACGTGGAATAATTTGCAAAACCTGAAACATGAACCTTCATTTTCTAAGACAGCTTAAGATCGCTGTTCTTGAAAAGAACATTTAGAGACATTTTTTTTAGAACTAAATATGTCCTTGATTGCACTTTGAGGATTCGCTTTTTCCCCAAATGGTCAAAATGTGAATAAAAATTTTAAAATACTTCCCTATAAATATAAGAAACCAAGTCATAGCTGTTCTTGAGAAGAAGACATACAAAAATTATTGCCTACTACATTGTATTTCTATGTAAACATTTGAAACGGAAATGGTTGTTGTTTAGTTTTGTATAAAGTGTGAAGTGAAGTGAAGTGGCAGGATCGAAGTAATTCATTTGCAGGAGACACCCGTTGACCACAGTTAGTGGTTGTCCAATCAAGAAGAAACCCATTGTATTACTGTATTGTATTTGTATACGGTACGTTCATTTCTTGGGCTATGCAATTATTACAAGAGATTCTTCAAAGATTTCTCAAGCATTGCAAAATGCTTTCACAGGCTGACAGAGAAAGGTCGCGCATTTACTTGGTCTAAAGAATGTCAAGAGGCATTTGACACCCTAAGAAATAAGCTGACCAACACTCCAATATTAACGCATCCAGACTTTACTCATCCATTCATTTTAAATACGGATGCCAGCAATGTGTCTGTAGGCGCAGTCCTATCACAAAAGATTGATGGTCAAGAGAGGGTTGTTGCTAAAGCAAGTCGGACATTGACAAAGTGTGAGCGCAGATACTGTGTTACACGAAAGGAATTGCTCGGGGTTGTCCACTTTGTCAAGTACTTTAAGCATTACCTCTATGGTAAGAAGTTCATAGTCCGCACAGACCATAGCTCCTTAAGGTGGTTTTTTCAAAATTTAAGAATCCAGAAGGACAGTTGGCACGTTGGCTGGAAATCCTCAGTACATTCAATTTCGAGATACAACACCGATCAGGTAACAACAGAGCAATGCAGATGCATTGAGTAATGTGCCATGACGCCAGTGTGGTTTTGATCCAAATTGGGAGATGGATTTGGAAAGTGAAAAGCACAAACAAGAAGAAGTGAGAGCCATATCCCAAGCCAGTGAATCAAAGGACGATGATGACGATCTATTGCTGTCAATGAAAGACCTGCAAGACAAAGACAAAGATATATCTCTTGTCAAACGTTGGGTCAAAGAAAAGACAAGACCTGAGTTCAGTGTGATAAGTGGCCAAAGCTATGTGCTACGAGCTTTATGGTCACAGTGGAACAATCTTTGTATCGAGAATGACATTCTATTCAGAAGATTTGAAGAGGAAGATGAAAAGACCATACGCTTATAGGCCATTCTACCAAGTAGCCAACGACGGACAATATTCGAGTACTGTCATGATGTGAGGACAGCTGCACATCTTGGCGTTAGTAAGACAGTAGCTCGCATTAGGCAAAATTTCTATTGGCCTGGTTTGCAAGCAGACGCCAGAATGTACATAGCAGGTTGTGAGAAATGTTGTAAAAGGAAGGGACCTCAAATGAAGAGAAAAGCGCCCATGGAATTGGTTGAGAGTGGTTTACCCTTGGACAGGATTGCCACGGACATCCTGGGAGAACTACCAATGACAGAGGATGGCAACAGACTATTTTACCAAATGGACCGATTCTTTCCCAATGCCGAAAATGGAAGCCAAGACAGTGGCAAAACTTATTGTTGAAGGAGTAATTGCCCGGTTCGGCGTGCCATCAGTTATTCATTCTGATCAAGGTCGACAGTATGAGAGTGCGCTTTTTGAGGAGATGTGCCGGGTTCTACAAATTAAGAAAACACAGACTAGCCCCTATCATCCACAAAGTGATGGAATGGTAGAGCGTTTTAACAAGACGCTAGTGACAATGTTACGGGAACGACCACCATTCAGATTGGGACAAACACCTACCATTTGTAGTGATGGCTTACAGGGCCTCCGTTCATGAAACAAATGGATACACTCCCAATTACCTGATGCTGGGAAGAGAAGTGTCAACACCGCTTGATATCATGTTTGAAATGCCCAGGTCAGTACAGCACATTCCTAAAGACAAGTGGGCCTGGGAATTAAAAGAAACCATGGAAAGTGCACAGAAACATGTAAGAGAGAACATGAAAACAGCCATGGTTAAACAAAAGAAGTATCACGACCAAAAGTTGTCATGGCAGAAATTTGAGCCAGGTTGCCAAGTCTATGTTTTCTTTCCAATTAGGAAGGCAGGTCGCTCGCCAAAATTTACCAGTTACTGGCGGGGTCCTTACAAGGTCCTATCAAAGTTGACAGACCTTACTAACAAGGTTGACTGTGGATGTGGTGGAAACCCACAAGTCATACATGTTGACAGAATGCGTCGCAGGTATCCTCAAACATTACGAGGTGAAACGCCTGATGATGAGAGAACAGCACCAGAGGAAGACCCTGAACCTCTAGGTGATGACGGAGAGGAAGAACATGAGTCAAGTAACCATTTTGATGGAGACGACATCCCTGGAAGACGCAGGAGAAAACCACAGTGGATGGAAGACTACGTCTAGTACTAGGGAGATGTCCAAAATTTTCAGGCATTGCACAGTTTTGTAAATATATTGTAAATAGTTAATCATATGCGGGACGCATATAATCTTGAGGGGAGGGTAGTGAAACGGAAATGGTTGTTGTTTAGTTTCGTATAAACGTTAGACCTACGTTTTTGTTTAAAGTCTTAAACACTAAAAAATATTAATTTTACGATCATACAAGTAGTATGAAACTGCCAATGTACTGGGACTACTTTGGGATAATACTAGTTGTATTGCAGTGCATTTGAGACCTCCCTGATGACGGAGTTGATAAACGTTAGTTCGTTTCTTCTCATATATATGGTTGTAAAACCTGAATAAGGCAGAGAGTTGCGGGGAACAAACGGCTAAGTGTTTTATACTTACCAAAAGCGTAAGACCTGAATAAGGCAGTCACTTGGTTATAGAGAAAGAGGTGGCATACCACAGATAAAGGTGGGGGAAGTGCTAGGAGTCAGTATCGTGAAGTGGCAGGATCGAAGTAATTCATTTGCAGGAGACATCCGTTGACCACAGTTAGTGGTTGTCCAATCAAGAAGAAACCCATTGTATTATTGTATTGTATTTGTATATATATTTGATTATAATCGTATTGGTCAACAAAAACCTGAGTCAACAGGTTAACGAACCTGTGTGTAACGCCTGGTGATACAAGCATATCACCAAACACCAAGCTCGGCCGCATTGCACGTTACACACTGATCACCAATTATCGCCCCATCCTACACTATATCACCAAAGGACATGTTTTCAACAAACTACACTACCTAAAATCCCGTACAAAATATTCGAGAAGTGGTGTCAAGCAGATGTGGTTACTTAAAAATTCAAAGGACCTTTGGAAAATATGGAGAATTTCACTTAGATCAACAAAATTAAAAAAAACATATAATTACGAATTTTTTAACTTTATCCTTACATAAATTTACTAAAGTTAACAATAATGAATACTTTGATTTATATACGAGTACTATATAAACTCTTGAACTTTTTTATGAATTAGATCCCTAATATATATCGTAATCAGCATGTCATTTTTTTGATAAAATATGTAAATATCCAAGAAATATCTGATTTAAATACTGGTACCAGAAAATTAATTGTAGCAATTATGAAAAATAAAATCAATCTATCCGAAATTCATAGTACAAAAACCTTTGATTGACTATAATTGTAAAAAAAAATGATTAATTTGATGAACTATAAGTTTGCTTTGGTAAGATATAGCTAAATATACATGTACATGTATTACTTTTTATTAGGGTACAGAGTGTATATACAATCATTCCCCATGACAAATTAAAGTCCGGGCCTTTGAAAGCTGCTATTTCAGTACAATTTACTCACATTGTCTTTTGTGTTTGCAAATTTGTTTTGTGAAAATACATTCTGATTGTACACACAAGTAATCTGGCGTTGATATTTAAAAAAAAAGATGCTCGAGTTTCTGATTGGCAATGTCCATGTGGTATTTGAAGACCAGGTTCAGGACAATCTACTGGAATTCCCATGGGTACCAATATAATATTACATTCCAATATGAACAGACCTAACTTTGTATTAATACGAAGCAGAATTTGTGTAAAATCTTTTACGAGAAAAGGAAAATAACTTAAATTCCTAAATCGACATTTAAATATATCGACGACGTACCGTTTATTAAAAGTGGTAATTTCTATTCTTATGTCAATATGATACTACTACTGTAAATCACTTTTTATTCGCGAGAACTTTATTTTCGCGTAATAACGCGAGACAGTGTACTCGCGAAAATTTAATTCTCGCGTATAATAGTATTACTTAAGATTATATAGAGCAGTAACCACAATTCGCGAAAATTTTGTCTCGCTAATCAAGAGTCAATGACTATCTCGCGAAATAAGGTGTCGCGAAAATTTAGTGATCTACAGTATATGCCGCTGAGCTTGAAATAAAAAAAACTCCACAAAGTCTGACACATCTCTTTCATATTTGGATATTTTATTTAAATAGACTTAAATGGTAATCTAACAACAAAGCTTTATTACAAACTTAATGACTAACTTTTCAATCGTCAGCTTCCTTACTTGTACAGCAATAAACCTTCATCTTCTGCATATGGGGTTTATATTTCTCACTTGATAATGAAGAGCATGCTCTACGTATGAACTATTTCTAAAATGAGCTAAGTTGTTGTCAAACAAATTGATGAACCAAGAATATCAGCAGTTTTGTTTTAAGTAATCATTCTGTAAGTTCTATGGTCGATACAATGACCTTGTCAGCAAATACAGTTTATCATTTCGTCAAAGACTGACTGATGTTTTCAATATAGATTGTTTGGCCATTATTTACACACTGAGTTGTCTACGGATTTTCTGTTATTTCCCAAAACATGACAAGGAGCACACGCCGGTTGTCAACGGTCGACAAGGGATGCTTACTCATCCAAGTCTCCGGATCTTGCCTCTTTTTAGAGATCCGTGTTTGTTCTTGATTGGTATCATTATTCTCTAATGGATTTCTGAGCTTGAAAACTGTTTGTTATATTAAATATAATAATTATATTAAACATATAGAGATAACGAACAGTACTCAAGATCAAAAGTCCATAAAAGAATACATAATAGGAGCAGAGCAAACACGGACCTCCAAACATCAGAGATGGGATCAGGTGCCATGAAGGAGTGAGTATCCCCTGTCGACCGGTCACACCCGCCGTGTGCCCGGTCCTTGTCATATATATAATTCTTGAGAAAATTTGAGAACATGGAAAGTTTATATAGACAAGCGGGTGATTAAAAATGCTTATTAGCTTTCAGCTCAGCTGAGCTTAATGTCCTTATTTAATTCTTTAGAACAAATCAGCCCTAATAGTACAATTCTCTGATATCTTTGGACTTTCAGTAAGTCGTGGTATTCTTGACCTTACATATAACTGGCGTATTAAATTTACACACCTTTCATCTTCTGTTGAAATACACAAATGATAGAAATTTGGGCGAATTCGGCAAAGAGATGGGGCTTAAGTCGCCTCATCGTTGTCATCAATTTAAAATTATTGATGTTATTCATTTCTTAACCAAAGAGAATCTATTCGCCATTTGAGAAACACTATAAGCTAATTACGCAGCGTTGAAAAAGTCTCGCCTTACTGAAAGTCCAAGGATGGCAGATAATTGTACTAAGTCAAAATATACATACGTGTGTAGGCATCATATTGTAAATCATGACGGCTTATTCTTGGATTTTGTTACATTTAAATCAAGGACCCAGGCATTCAGACATGTGACAATGAGGATAAACTTAAGAAAGAAGTACCTGTGGAGCTGTGGACACAATTTCAATAAGAGACGAGCAACACTTAGTCATAAATGTAGATAAAATCATATTTTTGTTTCGTTTATCGGCTTGTCTAGCAATAGATTTTTCTCTTTCTTTTGTTTTTTTTAAACATTATTATTAATCACATGATAATTTGAGGTGGGGTCGAGTTCTAATAGCTGGATTATTATTCCGTTCTTGACATCGTGTACCGTGCTTCTGGTCCCTATTGTCAGTATATGATACAAATGTACACTGTAGGTGAGTCAATCTTCAGACGTAAAGCACCCAATCTCTCGTCCCAGTGTCAATGGTACAAACTTACCATTCTATTCTTTCTCTGTTAAATCCAGTTTTTTCTTCTTTCTGTATGATCATTATTTCTAGAGTAGAGCATAGCAGCTGGTCTTACATTTTGGTCGCGGTTTGCAGTCAAGCTTCACCTCAGACTATTATTTGTTCACTTCACTCAGAGTAATATGCTTTGAGAAGGAACGGATTATTCTAATTTCATCCTTAGTATAGACAATTCTGTGTTTTCGCTATAACCTAATCATTACATCATAATTTATGCAAACGTAATATTCTAAGTATTATGACATTAAATTTTATTTATATTCTGACCCCTGGTGTTTGAACGGGGATAGAAATTTGCATGCTTAATAATGTCTGTAAGGGGAAATATCCTCACCTTGACCTCAATAAAACTACGCTAGTTTCAAACACTTAGTAAGAGTTATCTCCCTTCCCGCACTCTCGGAGGGAAATTCAAATTCCGTACTATGGTAAAATTTTAAGTAATTCAGTTAATCTTACAACGTTTGGTTTTGTTGTTTGTTTTTTTTTTGTCAAAAATGACGGAGGAATTTTACAGAGGGACAATTACCAAGATTAGTATGTTCCCTTTTTATGGAGATAACGAACTTTATACAAGCTCAAAAGTCCATAAAACAATGCAAGATTGCAGCAGAGCAAACATGGACCTCTAAAAAAATCTGAGATGGGATCAGGTGTCATTTAGGAGTGAGCATCCCCTGCCGACCGGTCACAGATTTAGAATATGATTCATATACTTCACAAGTTTGAAATCACTAAAAATGAATATTGCTTTCTCTTTTTTTTATTTCAGATATCAAATAACATTTTTGTATGTCATTAACAACATTTTCATATAAAATTAGCAATCAAACACAGCCTTTTAAAACCAACATATACCATTCAGTCTGCATTCTAACGCCTTTGTTTCATGACAATAAATGAAATGTAATAATAGTAGTAGTAGACTAGTGAAAAATAAACAAAACAAAACAAAATTATGAGCAAGTGATTCATAGAATCTTTGATATAAAAACATCTGGTGTGTTTATCGCAGTGGAAATTTAAACAGATGTTCATCATAAATCATAGAAAAAAAATGTATACGCGTAACACAATAAAAAATAAAACAGTGAATTAATTAAAAAGAATCATATTCAGGCCATCCTTAAAAAATTGTTGCTTGCCGTATCCCGACTGACTAACCAAAATTCACCAGACTCAAAACTTTTTTAAACATTTCAGGACACGATATTTTTTTTTTCTTTTAAATTCCTCTTATCACGTCAAAAAAATTGAAACTTTCTGGAAGAAAGATTTTCGCAACTACCTACCGACCTGATAATTTAACCCGAGTCGGGAGAGGGCAAGCAAAACATTATTGTAAAGATGGCCTCATCCCTGATTGTTTTTTAAAGTGAATGTGTATCTGTCTTTTGTACAATGATTTTTTTCTGTGTTTTCCACAATTCCCACAATATGTGATTAATTCAAATGAACAATAAATCAGCCATAAGTTTCATTCATTTTAAAGTTATACACAGTCATGGTGTGTGCATTGCATTACGTATAAATAAAAAGTTTAAAACAGAGTTACATTTTCATAAAGTGTATGTTTGTGCGTTTATCAATTGTAATCAATACTGAGAAAATATATGAATACATGAATGTGTCATGGTCTTAGTATAACTGTTTTTATCACTATATACATGTAATGGTGATAATAATTTGTGCAACATTCATGCATTAGCAAACCAAACACAGACTGTGTCAAGTGATGAAAATCCAAGACTCACATTCATTCAGATTTTAGGGTTCTTGAAACTTTTATACAAGACACTTAATGTCCTTCAAGATGTTTTGGCACGTTCAAACTTCCAATAAAACATTTCTAAAAATTGAGATTCTTTGATCATAAAACGCAATAAGTAAAACACCTTATGAAACATTCAGTCCAGGCACACGAAGTTCTCACTACAGACCATGAGATGGACACCACTCTCTATAGAAACATTCCTATCACGTACATGTACCATGCATTCAGTCATCTTTTGCGTAAAAAAATATGAATATTATAGCACCACCTTACAAACAAAAGCATTTACAATACATTCAAAAGATTTTTGCTCTTCGTCAAAACATTTAAACATCATTCGTTCAAAAACATAAATAGCTCGTTTACAATGGTGACTTCTCACACTCCTTTGATTTCCGATACCCACGTAGAAAACATTTCATGTTTGGCGTTTCATCATGGTTTTGCGTTGACTTTTTGAAAAATGAACATGTTAATCGTCATGATGACAATTTCAATTCGAGATCTTTGAAATAATGAGAATTTTCCTGCTGAACTGGAGACACTTGCTTTCAGCACATTTTTCTTCAGTGAAAACATAAGTCCATGGTATAATTTATTTTTTTGCCATGTTCGCAACTGTAATGTCGTTCAGGTGCAACATCATAAAGGTCCTGGTCTGCCCATTCGGCAAAATGATGTGTTTTTATAGATAATAATAATGTATATAGATGGTTTTTGATATTTCTTAGAGAAATAGCTTAGTCTCACTGCTTGCGGATGACCTTTCGCTGTCCGTACATCTGTTGATTTTACACGGCGAGGAGTTCTGTTTCCCGCCACTGATCACGTGACACGGAGGAACAGTAACATTACGAGGATAGTTATATCTCTCATAGTAGTCAGTGCGCCTGCGCAATAAGTACATGGCGAATATTACTAAGGCTAACAGTACACAGACCCCCGCTACGGGCACAGCGATGTAGATGGGGTTTAACATTTTGGAACTATCTTTACTGGGTCCATTGAGTGCGCATGGGCAGTCGGTGTGATCTGCGTCATGCGTTAAGTCACTGTTTGGATTGGCTATTTTATTTTTTGTGTCGTCATAATTAGAGTCTAGATGTGCTATTTCTCCTTTTTCTTTGGTGTCTGCAAAAAAATCAGATTACTAGTTTACATATATCTTACATACAGATTATAAAAAAAATTATTGAAAATAACAAATTGTTCGATTTATTACTAGAAGATGAAAACAGTTTTGTCTTGTTTACTTGGTTAAATATTGATGCGTTATGTTATTATTATTTTTTTTTTTTTACATTTTTAAAAATATTATTTCTTTTTCAGGTTCGTTAAGTTACAAAACGAAATACGCACCGATATTGTTGTGGGGTGGCGCTTGAGTGGGTACCACGTTTTTATTACAGAAATCTTTATCGTTACAGCAGTGAGAGATTCGGAGTTGTGGTAGTTTAGAAGACAGGCGGTTTTCACAGAGTAACGGCTGCCATTGGTCAGAACAACCTGCTTCCACAAATCCGTTGTAGGTTTCGCTGTAGCACCATGTACCCACGCACTTCCGGGTCCCTTGTTCTAAACATTCTTCTGTTGTGCAGTCACAACGCAATCCTATAAAAGACAGTGAAACCTTGTTAATTTAAACATTTGAAACCCAATTAGATTGATAACTTTCATCTGAATATATACATTTCTTTAAAGGTTTATACATGTATTTCATATACGAAAGATAACTTTTAAAATGGCTTTCGTATATTTCATATACGAAACATAACTCTTAAAATGGTTTTTATTTCTTTTCTTAAAATAATTAGATGGCAATTTCTGTCGATTTTTGTTCTGCATGCAAGGTATACTGAAATTTTGTTTATATTATTAATAACAAAGATTTCTTTCTAAAAAAAGATAAGATAAAAAGAAAAATAAAGTAAGATATTGTCCATTGAAAAATCATCCACGAATAACATCCTCTACGATTTAATAAAACTACGGTTATCAGGTGTTTTTCTTTTTATGTATGAGGGAATACACGAAAATACGTCCACACAAACCTGTAGAATTTTGGCAATCCACGTAAATCCCCCCCCCGCGAATTATAATTATTTTAGAGTATGTTATTTAAATATTCCCATGATGCAATATGCTATGACTGGCTAAAATACATTCTCCATAACTTCGTCTTTGTCTACTTTAAATAATATGTTTTAGAAGTTTTGAAAGCGTAAAAAATTAGATTCAAAGGAAACTTCAAACAATGTCAATGCACTGCATGATGAATTACCATAAATAAAAATATATACTTCAAACCATTCTTCACGGGGAAAAAAATAAAAATGAAGAAATTATTTTTGACTTTAATTACAACCGTAAACAATCGTTTCGGTGTCCCTATAGAAAGAACAAGGTCACTTCAGGTGTGAAAACTGGCGACTTGATGACATTGCTGTAGGGTTTGTGTCGTTCATCAGGTATTCGAAATTGTCAGGGGAATTAACATGAAGACTTCCGAGGATTAGGTCTTTAAACTTATGAGTAGCAAAGTTCTTTTAAATAAATAACAGCGTCAAGTCAAACGCACTGTTAATATAAAATTATTGTTTATAAGTTAATGTACTCATTATTGTCTTTATCTTATTTGATTGTCTTAAGAATCTTCATTTTTTCATTAAAAAAAATGTAGAAAACATAAAGAACTAAAAATTAGACAGTGCATGGTAACCCTTTTCTATCTTTATTTCATGAAAGTAAGAACGGGAAGTTTTTTTTGTAATTTATATAAATGAATCTTTCAGAAGTCTCCCCTATTGCAAGACAAGGTCGTTTTTTTAAGACCACGTGACAAGCCTTTTCTTGCATTGTGGATGATAGGTTTCTGTCATAATTCTGTGTATGGTTTAAATCTAACAACTACAAAAACTCGATAAGCTTGGGTTTCTGTGCCGACAACATAGCAGGAAATGATATTTTGTAAAGACACTTGCCGACTTGTCATTGATAAATAATGTTTATCTCTTTTTTTTTTATAACCACAATTTTTTTTAAACAGCTGAGCGCATCTTTAGTCAGAAGTTACATCATAAATGCAGATTTTAATAATCTTGATGAGTTGAAATTCATGAAATTGAAATTTGAATGAATTGCTCCAATGATACTTAAGTTTGCAGATATGTTAATTTGGTTGCAAATAAGTTTTTTTTTTTTAATTTGTCTGAAACAAATCAAAGAAAGCTTTATGTCTATAATTTCATGGTTTGTAGGTAGCATCTTATTTACTTAATAAAAAATGACAAATGCCATTTTTCAAAAAAAGATATGAATTTTAATAAGGAATAATTTAAAATTTGCTTTTTAAAACAGCCCCAGGCTTATTTTGCATGGATTATGTAACAATGTTGAAAAGCAATCTCGGAAAGAATGAATCATGAGTGGCTATTGGTTATTCCTGAAAAATTTAGTAAAACTGCATAATTTAAAGAAACAAACTTTTAAAAAAAATTATAAAAGAAATCCATTTACAAAAGATTATACATGACTTTTTTTTTCTAAATTATGGTAAAATGTACTGGAATTAAATTGTAATGACATGTGCAAAATCCTAAGAAGGTCAATTTATAATATGTAATAGTTTATGTTTTTACATGTACAATATCTTAAATTTTTAGTATTTACCATATGAAACAGTTTATAAGCTTCCTTAACATGTGGATGCTTTTTTTTTTCAATTAAAAAAATTGAGGTTCAAAATATCTGCATCCCGAAATCTCTCATTGTAAAATTTGTTGTAAAAAAAAAATGAAAAATCAAACGCATGCTAGAGGGAAAATAATTTCTCTCTATTGAAATAAGAATTATACAAAATCTGAACTCGGAGAATGCCATTTTACACCCCCTTTAAAGTCAATTTAAAGCTCTCTGCATACATATATTTCATTTTATAATGGAGATGTAACAAGCAGGGCTTATCAAACTTGTTAATGTATCCCACTAAAACGTTCCGCCTCACGGCACACGTGATACTAAATCGTCACGCATGACTACACTCGAACGAAATATTTTATAACATCTGGGAAATAAAATGGTTAAAACAGGCTTGTATCCTGTCCTGTATATATTAAGTTTAATTTATGACATCGAAGTAGATTTGTCGTCAGGTAGAAACATATAATTTTGTAAACAGCGCATAATAAAATATTATAATAACCAAATTGATAGCAATCGCCATCTGCCATCTGTGTGTAAGGAAAAAACACATCTTTATATCTTCTGAATAAGTGACAAATACTCGGCTATGATTAATAGCTTATTCATCTACATCTCCCTTAAATAATAAACATTACATTCATGCTGCTGAACTCGATTTATAAAGAGCCAAAGGTATTGATAATTCAGTTCGAGTGTTTTTGTTGCTGTTTTATAAGAAAATACTTAGCTCTTACAAGTCATGTTGGATAGGCTTAAAGGCAAAAAAAAATGTCGGCGCTGTAAGACTCTGAGGAATCCTTTAGAAATTGGAGGAAACGCTTGGAAAAATATTCAGTGTAACTTAATTTGACAACTCTGTGTGTGTGTGAGTGTTTCAAGTTTTCTAAAATCAAAGACATCTTTTTCAATTCTCAGTCAATATATGAAATGCTTTGCAGAAACAACTTTTCAGACTTCCTGCCACTTATAAAGGAGACAATCATATGAAACCAATTACACAAAACGAAAAAAAAACAACAAAATTTGCGTTTCTTGCAATTTACAATCCGCAAAATTCCGCCGACAAATCATATTAACGCACAGACATGTTAAAATATTTTCAGATCGTTCGCTGGTTTGTTTGACATTAGGCATCACAGACAAACTTGAAAGGAATTGACGTCTGATTTTATTAGAATACAGAAAAAGGGATGCCACTATGTCTACAACCAATGATTTTCAAATGGTTCCTCCGAGTTATCTTGGGATTTATCGATAGACACTCAGCTATCTCTGGATTTATCCTCTAGTCATTATGTGCTTTCAGTGTTAATCTTCTATACACGAAGTCTCATTGACAGACAAGTTTTTTGTCTCTGATACAATAAAATAGAAGGCTATTGATGAATAGACACGATATCTAATCAAAGATGGCACAATCCTAACAGAATAAATTTACAATAGCATTTATGAATTTTTTGGTTCATTAAAGAATAGACACAGGGAGAAAAACATAAAACTGTACACAATGCATCTCATTACTGAATTCAGACTATGGTTTCTACATGTATCTTGTTTTCCATTTGCTTTTGAAATGCTTTTTTCAAATTGCAATCCATTCTAAGGTGAACTGGAATCTTGCATTAGGAGAATTACATGTTTCTTTAAATCACGAGTCTATGCCTTTGCAAAATTCGTCGGATGTGAGTAAAAAAATCCATGATTGACAGATACCAGAATTTTATGCATTTGTTTGTTTTTATTAAGGTTTTTAAATCATTTACAATTTTTTTTAAAGATGTTTAAATCATTTTAAATCTTTTGATATTCAACACGTGCATAGAAAAATGAACTTAGACCTGCATCTCATATCAAAAACAAAGCAGGTTCTTTATATAAATACATGTACGAGGAGGGTGCTATTTTATCATTGAAGTGAGAGATAACACTTTATGTTTGCATTTAACTTGTTCTGGAACAAGAATGAGATATACCGCTGGGTTTTTATGGGACCAATGATACAGCAGCCTGAAATAGACGACATGTTTTAAACTTCTCTGAATAAACGAACACTGATAGTTATAGCTGCTACCTCCAAACACACATAGCAGCAAGGCTGGTCCCAGGGAAAGGAACAGAATTTGCATCATACGTACACATTTATGTACTACACATTGTTTGAAACTGAGAATTTTATATGAAGAAAAATTTAATACTAATTTTACAACATGTACATGTAAGTAACTTTTAACTCTCTGCATACATTCTGTTGAATGTGTCTTTGAATTACTTCATTGAGAATCCAGTAGCAACGGGACGCTGTATTATCCGATCTGTTCTCCAGCACACGTATAATGAATACATGATAAATATTCCAGATTAAAACAAATTATGTTATTTTAAATACAGATTTGGAACAATATTAATATAGCACTAATTGAGTTCCTTGCTAAATCCTTATTAAACATATGCATACATTAACACTATATGAAAACGAAATGTATATATACTGTATATGTATATACTTTTGGAGTTTTGCCCCGTTTTATGTAATGGACTTACATGATTATTACCAAGATACAGTACGTAATGGACTACATGATTATTACCAAGAGTTTGCTCAGTATAATGCCAGGAGTGAACAGGGGCAATACAGCATGTTTTTATCACATATTGTGGACCCCTCATTTAAGAGTCTTTATCAATACACGTTGTCATAGCTTCGTCAGTCTTTAAAAACATAAGTTGTTCTAACTTCGTCACTTGATGATTGAACGCCGTGTCAGCCAAATAGTGCCCTGACGAGCTAGCTAGTTAGAGTTGATGCTTTTGGCAAGGTCTGCAATAACGTGTAGGTTTTCCATGCAGAAATAATTGCTGACTTATTATCGTATATTGCATCAAAATTAATTTATAAATTCTGTTCTTTC